GATATTATTTGTTACTACAATAACTTTACTAACAAGACTCTTGAGTATATTGTTAGTTTTCAAATTCTCAGCCAACCCTGTCCCTCTTTTTAGTGGAATTTAAATCACTACTCCAGTCCTTACATCTTGTAGAAACTAAGAAAAGTAATAGATTTTTGAATTTCTATGACCAGCTTTATGGAGAGACACTTGATTAACTGGCTTTCCCCCTGTGTGTGTGTGTGTGGGGGGGGGTGAGAGAGAGAGTGTGTGTATATGTATATGTATGCATCCTCCTGTACTGTTCACATATTCTTATATGGTGTCTGATAATGTATTGGTCTGACATTGGTTGTATATTTCTTATATATTCTTTAAAAAAAAACATGTTTAAGGTGAAACTGGAAAGGATATGACCTTTCTAGGTCTCTGTAGGCACTAGCTCTTCATGGTCAGGAAGAATTAGAGAGAGAGACAGAGAGAGAGAGAGAGAAAGAAAGAAGGCTAGGAATGGTGATTACTAAATGGTTGAACGCCACAGTAACGAAGCCTCCAGACCACACTTGGATCACTGCAATGTCCTGAGGTTTAAGGGCTGGCGACTCAGCTTGACCAAACCTCACCAAATACTCTAAACATCTCCAGATAGCTGCTCCCCCATCCAGCAATCACAAAGACCCCTGTGTCTTTGCTCTTCGTCTTCATATCATTACCTCTGTATGCTTTTACTTTATAACCTATATGCTTTTTTAGGAGTAACATTGATTGATAAGGCATTTTAAGAATGAAAACAGTTTGCAGTACACTATTAAAAGAAAGGGCTCCTGAAAGGTTCTTCGCTTGTATGTATGGCTCTAGGAAAGTCCTAACCTTTACACTGTTTAGAGGTTCTTCACACTGTCATTTACAAAAATGTTCCTGTAAAACCCATCCACTGAAAGGTTCTGTAGACAAAGGTGGTTTTCTATGGCAACACTTTCTGGCACCTTAATTTTAATACTGGAGAGATTAAAAGTTTCTGGTGAACCTGAACCTGCAGAATATAAAGAAATGTTTATACAGAACTGTAGGGACTCAGATCATTAAATTCAAATTCCAGAGCCTCATGAAGACTCCAGCTAGTGACTCAGTCAGCATATTTACATGAAAGAACCCTGCAGTTAGATGAAATCTTAACGCAAATCAGGTCCAAATTTGCAGAGTGGTTTCGCAATAACAAGACCACCAAAACAGGAAGGCGAGTGTTTGGACGTATGGCAGTCACACACTGTACCCCAAAGGTGTCTGTCTGCAACAAGAAAGTGAAGATGTTTTTGAAGGAGTTAATCATTTCCTTCTGAGGCTCCAAAAAGGGCCCCTGTCCACAAAGTATGCCAGTTACACCTCAAAAATAGATTAGACTTTTTCTCTCGGGGAACAAGAGGTAGAGGAAATCTCCAGCAATGATCCAAAGCTCTGGGCCAACACAACCATCAGACTCCTTCAGCTGTGGGAATGTGGTTTTCTACTAAAGTTCTCCTACCCCTCCAGTCTCCCCCCACTCCTCCTCACCCACTCCTCCCAACGGAACAAACGTGTCTCCACACTGGCTGCACGCAGAAGTCTGGAAGGCGACTGCATGGAGGCTAGAGGAAGATTCCAGCAGCTCATGGATCATGCTATGCAGGCCATGCTAGCTGCATCTGAATGACGTTGGCAATGGTGCCCATTTGCCAGACTAATGGCTTGAGGTAAATGACTAAATGGTGATGCTGGAAGCATTCTGTTGCTTTAGTGATCAATAAATTAAACTATGTTAATGGTACACTCTGTGATTTTACAACACCAAGACTTCTAAAGTAGAGGAAGTGAAGGAAATGTGGATGCAAAAATCAGTAGTAATGCAAGAAAATGTGTTTTGAAGCTGTAATTTCCTTGTTTACACCATTATTGTAAACAAAAAACAAACAAAAAATTATATATATTGATTCATGACGAATAAAGAAAGGTCTGGACTGAAAGCCTCCAGAAGAAGCTCTTCAGGAAGTCATAAATACCAGAAAGCTAATATCAATGGGAAGGTTTAAAGTATGAGATTTGTTATTCATAAGAAGCTGAACTTTGAAATTGAATGAGTTACAGCAAAACTGTTATTGTACAGCAAAGACTTTCTGAAGAGTTTTGGAGCACTTATGTCCTGGCCTCTATAAACAAGACAGTCTGATGACAAATACTAGTAAGGCAATAAAGAATTACACAAGATTTAGGAAGTCTCGTAAGTTTTGTTGACTCTGGAAAGTTGTGACCTACAGTGAGTGATTCACTCGGTCTTTATATTGCATATAACTTCTATGTAAGTTGTGTAGTTATAAGAGTAAGGACTTGAAATGAGGCCCTCAGGGTTTCTCTCCTTGCTTGTTATGATTATATACATTGGTAGTTGTGTCAAATGTGTTACCATAGCACACAGGCTTTCTCAGTACTTCTATAAAGTAAACTGATTTGTGAGGTGCTACGTAGCAGCTTAGTTTTGCACATCATGAAAATGTGCTAATGAGAGGATTATGACATGACAAGAGGAAATTTGTAGCTACAGAACACACCTGTGCCAACATGATGTTCAAAATGTTTGGACTGTGCAGTTAGCAGATGATGAACGATGATGTTATTTCGCTTTACAATGGTGTTAAATGTATATTCTACGTCTAATTAATGGTCAAATGTGGTGTGTACATTAGAACCTTTGGGGTTCCTGGACAGGGATTAAGCCTACAGTCCTAGACTAAATCTACATTCAGAATGCTGTGTAGTCTAGAACTACACTTAATCCCCTTCTGGGAAACCGACCCTTAGCATCCTGGCCTTACTAAGTTTGCAATGTACTGTCAAAGTAGCAGTTTGGGGATAAAGACTCAAATCTGAGAGGTGAAGAGGTATGCCTCCACTGTGCTCTCCTTAGCACTGTTAAACATTTAGCAATTGTTGTTCAGTTTATGGGGCGGCACGGTGGCGCAGTGGGTAGCACTGTCGCCTCACAGCAAGAAGGGCCTGGGTTCGATTCCTGGCCGGGTGACCAGGGTTATTTCTGTGTGGATTTTGCCTGTTCTCCCCGTGTCTGCATGGGTTTCCTCCGGGTATTCCGTTTTCTCCCACAGTCCAAAAACATGCAGTCAGGCCAATTGGATGTGCTGAATTGCCCCTAGGTGTGATTGTGTGTGTGAATGTGTATGTCTGTCTGTCTGTCTGCCCTGCGATGGACTGGCGACCTGTCCAGGGTGTATCCTGCCTTCCGCCCAATGACAGCTGGAATAGGCTCTAGCACCCCACCGCGACCCAGAAGGATAAGCGGTTTAGATGATGGATGGATTTTCAGTTTATGGCGTAACACTTATATGAACTGAAAATATCACTAGTGCATTTTCTGATTAGTGCTGTAATAACAGCAGGAACTTATTTTTATTTATGCTTCAATCTGCTCAAACTTAAAGGGTTGTATTCCCCATTCACCAAAGCTAACAGCACAGCATGCCTCATAGTGAAGGGGACAGGGTTTGGAAACCTGGAGGTAAGGGGGCATTTACAATCCGTGCATAATTGTGCCTATTCATAAATCTTTATATTGTTAATGAGTTTTAAGATTTTGAGATGCTATGCCTTTTTAGTCATTTAGCAATGATACATAAAGACATTAAACATTTTATTATTCAACATATATTACTTTTTTAAGGTTTATGGGGTATTATACTTTAAGGGTACTTTAATGGCTAACTGAAACACAGCTTGGATAGTGTCTATTTTGCTGCCTCTGAAGCGAAACAAAAAAAGTCAGCCACGCCACGGGGTTCACATGCATGCTCCTTGATGTCAGAGGAAGAGCTTTCAAGAAAAGAGCTGTGTAGAATTAACATTAGGGACAGATAATTGGATAAGACTGGCCATGTGATTGTCTGTCTGTGTGATCTCACTATGAATACATGTAGCCGCATTCATCAGTTCCACTGAAGATCCGTGTGAATGGGTGCAAGGTTCAAATATCAGCGTGTGGAGTAGATCAGATAATTCATACCTCAGGTTACCACCCTCCGCATGCTATAAAAACAGCTTACATTATTAAGTCATTTTATAAACAACACTCCAGCTATGATTATGGTTAAGACGAGGGATTCTGACACCCAAATAACGAATCAGCATGAAACTGTATTGCTGCACAGCAATGACACCTTTGGAAGTATTGTTTTGCTCAGGCTTAATTACATCCTCAAAATACATTTCTGACTAACGTCTAGTCTACTGCCACAACAGACAGTGACTAAGAGGGCAAAACAAGACAATCACAGGCCACAGGGATAAGCAACTTGAGCAGCAGAAATTCTCCTATACAGTCTCTGCACAACAATGGCTAGCCATGTGTTGCACATTGAAAGCCTGCTGTGAGCTGCAGGCCAGGTGGCTGGAGTACATGTAGCTGCTAACTGCTAATGCTGTCCCGCTAATGCTGATTGATGGGGATGAGCTGAGTAGGATGCGGTTACTGTGCATGATTACTTGGGGAAGGATCAAATGCGCGCACATGCACACACACAAGCGCTTGTATTTCGAGCTAATCAGGACGTGGGGTCTATATTATATATGTGTTCTATGTATTTTAACTACTTATGGTAATGATAAGTCTATCCCTGAACTTAACTTTAACCTCAGTAACAAAACATTTCAAAGTTTTAAAAAATGAGGCATGTAGCTTGTATAAAGCACTTTTACCTGGTGGGTTAACTCTGCTTTTTTTCTGGCCTTCTTATATCAAGACCCGTCTTGAAAATGTGCGAAAACAAGTACATACGTGCACACACTCTCACTTACCCAGTCAATGGGATTTGGACTGGAGTCCTTCCTCACTCCTTGCCTCCCTCTCTCCCTCCTCCCTCTGCGCTAATCGCAGTGTTGTGGTTCTCTCGCTCAGGCTCAGTGGTTGTTTTCTCCTCCCTCTCAGGAAACTCTCCCTCTCTCTCCCTTTCTCTTATTTTTTTTACTCTCTCTCCCTCTGTCTATAAAAGTGGTGGTGGGAGGATTTTGCAGCAGACAGAAAGTATGCTGCCATACTGGGGACACCGAGAGGGGCATGTCACATGTGCCCAGGGGAGTGGCGCTGAATGGGCCTTGCCGAACCTTCAGGTGAGTACTGTTTCATTGCTTTAAGACTCTATGCTCCACACATACATCTCGCATGAACCTACTGATGTTAACTCTTAAAAGTTTTGGGTGAAGAGAAACATGACACTACATAGTTGAGAGGCATGCATGTTTGTGCTTACCATTTCTGACACTGGTACCCTCAGACAATACCACATGAAACACTAGATCTAAAAAGCTTCGCTGACACTTTCTCAGAAGTAAATATTAGTGACTACTGCAGTCTGTGAACAGTGTTTAAGAGTAAGCCTGATGAAGGTGCACGGAAGATAACAAGGTATGGAAAAGAAATAACGTATTTTTAACTCTAAGAGTGTAGGTTCCAAAGAGTGTAGGTTCAGGCATGATGGAGTAACTGTGAAAGTCTTCACCTTGATTATATGGGTCTTCTCAAGTTATAAGATGCAGAATCGTGTAATTTACACGTTCACAAGACAGCAGAAAGGGTGTGACTGGGGTTTTGTCACTGGCTGGGGTTGGCAGAGAGGGTGATGAAGTTGAAGACAAGTGTTTTAACAGGAAATTGAATTAAAACTAAATCTAATTAGCCTGTTACAAACATCTGCTTTCTATAGTGGAGAAAAGTTCATTTACAGTTAACAAGTACAGAAGACTTCTAACTGTAAAGCTCCTGCTACATGTTATGAAGTCACCTCATCACAGGGAAGCAGTGTAAAAATACCAGATGAGATAAAGTTCCAGATAAAGAGCTTCTGTGGGATAAGGGTCATTACGCCCCCATCCCGGGGTTCATGTCTTCTTGTCATTCTTGATAAATAGTGTCGGGCTTCACAATAAACAGCTAAAGGTATCATTAGTAATGCACACTACATTTAAAGCCAACAGCTGCCTCAGTAGATTTCTGCTGCCCTACTAAACAACTGCTATTGGTAAAGCAGTCAAAACAGGATCTAGATTCTGAAGTTGTTAAGAGGTCACACGTTCCTTCTTATAATCTGAGAGGGAGTACTTCACGTCAGACCAGAGCATGACCTTGGATTAACTTAAGAGGAAAGAAATCTGTTTGGGTTGCACATAGACCTGGGTGACAAACATGTCGTATCACGATTCTTTAAGAAGGTTTTACGATACACGATAAGGCACAATGTTTGTTTTTCTGACATCTGATAAGTTACACAATTAAAAAATACTATCAAAAACTGTGAATCCAATTCTTTGTACTTTACATACTGAGCTGCACTAATTCCAGTTAAACAGGACTATTTATGCTCTTTTTGTAATAAAACATGCAGTTGGGAAGTGTTTGTAAGTACTGGAGACTGGAGAGCCACAATATGTTTAGAAAAACTTATTGTAACGGAGAATATTGTAATGTAATTTATCACAATAACGATAAATAGGGTCATATTGTCCAGCCCTAGATGCACACTGACCTATAAACCTAGAAATAAACGAAGAAATTAGAGCTCAGTTCATATGAGTATTCCACTGATAAATCATAAATAGATAATTAAGATGTAAACAAAGTAATTCAGAGTGGTTTTATGTGAAAAGCTCCATTCTTAAGAAACTTACCAAGTCAGGATTGTTCACAGTTGTGGTAATAGAAACCAGGTGTCTGAAGAGTTTGATGCCCATAAAAGCTTCTTCGCAGAAAGTTATTGAATGAAATTGTTATGAATGCACCACCTGATGCCTGAGGCATTATTTTACAAATGTTTTGAGATCAGGTTATGAACTAAAACATATTTTTTCACCTGATTCATGGTGGAGAGGTACACACGGGCAAAATAGTCACCACAGAGAACTTATTTTTCAGATTTACCACTAATTTTCCAACATCAACATTACATATAAAAACTCAGAAGATGTGTAGGTTCACTGATCGTTTCGGATTGTAGATAAAATGTCTATATTAGCATTGCACATATTGTGACACCTAGTTCCCAACATCACCACTGTAAAGACATTTGAGTCAATAAGTTTCTCTACAATCAACCATTTCACATTGTAGACTTTTAGAAGTGATCTCTGAATCAAACTAATGCCAATTTGAAGCAATATTCAAATCATGACATTAGAATGAATAGAGGGATTAAATGTTATTAGTTGTTGCTTAAAATGAATCTCTGCGGATTCCTTCTGTACTAAACCACATTTCATAAAATGAGGCATTTTAAGTCTTTTTTTTTTTGCCTGTTCAAACAGACCAGCTGTCTCCTTTTGTGAAAGCAGTTGAGTATCATGCTTGTTTGTATTTCCTCCTATGTTTCCATTTGGACTAAGTTGAATGAGGATGATCAGAAATGTTTGCATCAGGTCCACTCTGCACAGTCTGTGGTTTCTCTGAAGATGCTGGCTGAAAGTTTTCCATAAAAACCACATTTACCAACAAACGCTTATCTTAATTACTACCAGAGACAGCTGAGGGTTAGAGAAGCTCAAAGATAAATAAATCTCCCCGACAGCCAAACTGACAGTCTTTGCAATTCAGCATAGCTGGACTTGTCTCAGTGACTACCAAGGTCAAAGCTTTAAAGACAACTGCATGCAATATTTTTCCTCCTGTAAAAGTTCATTCAAAAAACACAGAGCTAGATTACCTCCCCTTGTCCTTCTTAGCAATTTGTCATGAAGTTTTCTGAGACTCTAGCTTTAGTAAAATGTTCCATGCAGCCTTTTCTGTGAATGTTCAAAGTAATTAAGAATGATGACGTCTGTGATTTCACTGTACACCATGTCTTCTTGGATGGGGATGCTTAACAGAGACACTAACAGAACGGACATGTAACTTTACTATGAAAGCCTACAGTCTGAAGAACAGGCCGCTATATCTCTGAGGCTTGCAGTAAAGTCTGATTATACAGGAAGTGGTTTAATTCTTCCCCCTCATGGCATGGGCTCAATGCCAGTGCTGAGGAAAAAGGAGCTAGTGCTGTTAGCCAAGCTCTTTCCACTCAATAACGTAACCACCATGGGGATCTGCAGTCTGCCTTCTTCCGCAACATTCCTTGCCGAGCCTCATTTTTCAGCCTCTGATTTAGCAGATGACTGGCATTAATAATCTCTGACTACACATGTTATTATCGCCATGGTTACTACAGACTGATTCCATACTTTGCTGCCTCCTGTAAATCTTCTCGTAAGATTTCTAGTAAAAAAGGTTTTCAGACTCCTTGTATTGTCCAGAGTATTGGACTCCTTGCCCTCGTTTGCAAAAGACACCACCTCTATTGTCCCTTGGTTTAAAATTTACAGACGGGATAATTTTAGCAAGTTAATATGCAGTGAACGTTTTATTGAGCACATACAGTAGACTGAACTTTCAAGAAGAAGCCTCAAACCATGCCAGAGAACAATGGAATACTTCTGTAATGCAGTACTTCATAACAGAAGTTGCCTTTGTATGTGTGGTAAACAAATCAAACTGGGCACTGTAGTTTGCAGTCAGGCCTCTGGCAAGGCCAGCTATGATTATGGCTATATGGGCGCCGCAGAGTGAGTGCGTGTGGCTGGATGTGGTTATTACTCTGGTGGTCAGCTGAGCATGGTTTAAGTGATGACTGAAATCATCAAGGTGCCACCTAAATCACAGACAAACCTGCAAGAGGCACACAAAGCCACACCAGTGTTGAACTTCTTTTCATTTGTGTTCATGTCCTGCAGATCTTGAGTTACAACTGAGTTACCCAGAGTCTCCTGGACAGCAACTACTGTCAATATGTTTTGTTTTCTGTAGACTGTAAACTGACTTAGGTTTAAATGTACTCTAGTGTTAGGTAAAAAGTTTGGAATCACAATTCAAAAGTTTAAGATCACTGTTTTAAATACAAAAATGTTGCAGATAACTGTATGAAATAATTTTATTAAAATGCTGGGATACAATTTCACATATTTCAGCTAATTACTAGAAAGCTGTAAAGAAAGATAAGATGTTACGTGTCCAGATTGATGAACAGAGCTGTACTGTAAAAACGATGTGTGCCTTAACTTAAAAGGTTAGTAACCTGATCACCTAAAAATTTTGAGTTCTTTAACTTTCTAATAACAAGTTAATGTAAAACACAGATTATTGTTCTGTAAACTTACTATTGGAACTGCAATTTACAGTGTGTAGATGATTCCTTAATGACTGTGAACAATGGTATAACAGAGAAATCTCAGGCAGATAACATCAATAATTACTATACAAAGACAATTACAGTATATTATTTATCATTTAACAACATGATATATTAAATAAAACATCTTGAAATACCTTCGTGTGTCTAGCTTAAAATATTTCTCCACTATGTGTATCTATATATGCATACCTACACTGTGCAGTTTATTAAGTTATTCTTAAAGAAATTAAAGAGAATGATCAATAAAGGTGATTCCAAACATTTGGGCACTACTGTATCCCTTTAGTTAAGGACCCATACAATGCTAATTACAAACTTATCATCACTCAACACTTACAGAACTGTTGATAACCTTATTTATATTTATTCAATTCCTATGACAACTGCAAAGAAATTATAATTTAATTGTGAAGATACTGGTTAGTTCATAGAACTGGTTGGTTCGCTGAAAAGTGTGGTAATTCTTCAGGAAAATTGAAAATATAAAGTCAAACTGAACCAAAAATATAAATTAAATAAATAAAATAAAACAAATCAAAACAAATCATTTTACTTTTGGTCTACAAAACTTCCACCTGGCTCGTGCTAAATTAATGTTGAGGAACGCCTGGGCTGCTCTCACCCAACTCCTCTCTAATTACTTACCTGTCCTTCCTCATAGGATGATTGACAGTACTCTTTGGTGAGTCAGAGAGCAGGATGTCTGGTGTGCCCTGCGGGGCTTCACATCATCAAGCTGTGCCTGTTGCCTATGCCCTTGTGCTCTCCTGGCTACTGCTCTTGGTGCATGCTGCCTTTAGCCAGAAACCCGCTAAGCTGCCCCTGGTGGGCCGCAAGCCATTCCTGGCTGCCTGGAATGCTCCAGTGGACATGTGCACCCTCAAATACAACGTGAACGTCAACCTTGACCTCTTCCACATCAGTGGCAGTCCACGAGCTGTCCACACAGGCCAGAATGTCACCATCTTCTATGCTAACCGCCTGGGCTACTACCCATTCTATACAGAGCAAGGGGTGCCTGTGAATGGAGGCCTACCTCAGAACTGCAGTCTGGAAGCACATCTCAGCAAGGCCAGCAAAGACATTACACACTTCATTCCCTCAGAGGACTTCCATGGCCTGGCGGTCATCGACTGGGAGTATTGGCGGCCACAGTGGAGTCGCAACTGGCATAAGAAGGATATCTACCGACAACGCTCACGTGAGCTGGTCTCCCAGGCGTACATCAATGTGACGGAGGAACAGATTGAGGAGCTGGCACGTCTGCGCTTTGAAAAGAGTGCCATGGCCTTCATGCAGGAAACACTACAGCTGGGCACCCAGACTCGACCCAAAGGCCTCTGGGGCTACTACCTATATCCAGACTGCCATAATTACAATGTACATGCACACAACTACAGTGGTTCCTGCCCCATGCTGGAGAGCCTCCGCAACGATGAGCTGCTCTGGCTGTGGAACAGCAGCACTGCCCTCTTTCCTGCCCTGGCCATCCGTAAAGGCCACATGGACAGTGTTCGCAACCTGTATTTCTCCCAGAACCGTGTACTGGAGTCTCTGAGGCTGGCCTCACTGCCCTCACTGCCCTATGAGCTGCCCACTTACGTGTACACAAGGTTGGGATACAGAGATGAAGCAATGGCGTTCCTGTCACAGGTAATTACTTATTTCTCTCTATGGTGTGTACATAGTTAGCACCCTATTACACTGTCCTTCATTAAAACCACTATATAACAGTTAGTTACGGCCACACAATCCACTTCTTGCTGCAGTTGTGCCAAGTTCTACTTCAGGACATACAACAGAAAATGGATACATTAGATAACTTCTATAAGTTACATAATATTTGCCCTACAGTCTATTTTGTCAGATTGTGAAGAAGTCTACGACACTACGACAAACTGAACTTAGCCAAAAATTAAACTACAGTAGTCAGGTTAATGTTAATCTGGTAAATATTAAAAAAGCTGAGCTGAATCTGATATTGTGACAGTTTCATGGCTGTGATGGTAAGAAAAGCTAACAAAGCTACTCCTTTTTAGTGGTGGAAGGAACTGCATTAGAACACTCAAGGTTGCAAATAGCATTGCTGTGATGATCTACGGTACTCACCTAATACATGGCTGCTGTCGGAAGAAAACCTTGTATCTCCATTTTTCAGTTTTTGACAAAATTTGAAAATACCTGTTGCCCTTTACATTGTGTGTAAATTGGAGCACAAGAAATGGCCCAAAATAATTTGAAAAAAAGTCTGGTTCCATTGACTTACATTAAAAGTAAAGCATGTTTTTCCTTCTCCTGTAAAGTTACCAATTTGGAGATATGAGGTTTTCTTCCGACAACAGTCAATCAGATTAAATTAACCTAATGTATTTCTCAGTATTTCCTCTGTAAATCTTACAAACGAGTTACTCACCAACTGTTTATATGTACGTTCTAAGCATAAACATATTAATCAATGAAACGCAATTAATGTAACATTGCTTGGATGTTTTGTTAAATTACAAATTTAAGACACATGAATCAGTTTTGAAGGCAGCTTTGAAAAGTATAACACTGTTTCATTTAATTCCAGCCATACAACAAGCTCTTTGTGACTGTGTATAAAATGCTTTTATCTTGTGTTTCACAGAACGACTTGATGCACACAATAGGGGAAAGTGCTGCTTTAGGTGCTGCGGGCTTTGTGATCTGGGGAGACCTTAACCTCACGTCTTCTAGAGTGAGTGACTTCTCCACAACAAGAAACAGCATTAACTCTCCAGTTTAACACTTTCAAAGTAATCTAGATCATGTTTATTGGAAGTAGGACATTTATGCTTGTTATCGACACTATAGTAATATGAGCCAGAGCGATGTACATTTCTGTTGATGCTTTATTTAAAAATGTGTGCATCTATGCAAAATGCAACTACGTTCTGGATCTTTACTACATTTATAGACAACTGTGGTCTTAAAAATTGTATATACAAAAATGACTCAATGATTGAAAACCTAAAAACTGAGACGGTGCTACATTTTAGATCAGATGAAATTCTGCAGATGTGGAATATAACGAAGTACAACAGGTGTGAAAGACATTTGTGTATCTGTATGTTACTTTAGATATACCCGAAGTTACTTAAGACTTTTCCCAAAGTTCATCCACTTCCCGTCAGCCATCTTAGCAACAGCGCTGGGCAGTTATTTCCAGTCATGCAAGACCAGACTCCTATCCTTTTGAATGAAGAGAGACCTGAAAACTAAAGGCCAAATTACCTCTTCAAAAACATTTAAAATCAAATGGTAAAATCGTACAATCTCTTAAATAGTTTGTATCATTTAGCCCAGTTTGTATTATTTTTGAGTTGTTCTGGCTACTGCACTTGCGCAGATCTCCACAACAGTTTTTTTCCACTGGAGGCTTTAGCAGCAAGCTGATTGCCTCTTAATTGAAAGGCAGGACTTTCCCTGAAAACAAATGCCATGTTGAGCATTACAAACTTTTCCATTCTTTTTTCAAACAGTGACCTGTCTCCTCTTACTCAGTACATCTGAAAAGAAAAATATTTACTTTGTACAATAAGTCAAAAAGGATTAAGCACTCTATCTCTACATACAGTGTTTGGGAAAATCATTTTCACTTTAGACAAACTCATGGCCTCAAAATGCAACAATATAAATGATGACATTAATGAACCATACTTCTTTAACTTTAATGAGTGTTTGAACTTTTACTTGAGTACGGAATATGTTTACTGCTACCATGTCTTTCTTTAATTGCATAATTGTTATAAGAGTTTATTCATGTTATTTCTTTATGCTTCTATGCATGTGATCGCAGTACAACTGTTCCAAGGTGAAAGCATTCCTGAGCCACAGACTGGGCCGGTACATCACCAACGTGACCCGGGCAGCTGAAGTATGCAGTGAATTTTTGTGCCAGTCCAATGGCCGCTGTGTCCGGCGAAACCCGCAAGCAGCGCATTATCTGCACCTGAGCCGCACCAGCTACCGCATCCTGCCCAACCGCAATGGCACATTTACCGTCACTGGGTGGCATTCACAGCACGAGCTGCAGCTTCTCGCCGAACGATTCCGCTGCCACTGTTATCAGGGTTATGAGGGAGAGTGCTGTGACAGCTCTGAGCCAACACAGGAAGAGGAGGATGAGGAGAAGGACAAGAAAGGGCAGGAGGAAGGGGCGGAGAGCTCTGCTGTGTGTGTGGGAAATGCCCTTTCCCTGGTTGTGCTGCTTGTTCTGTTTACTTTTAGCTGTGTTTGAAGCAGCCTGCTACAGTTATCTGATGGCACATGCAGTGACCTATGTTTGTATTTAGACACTTTAGAGTAGGCCTTTACATAATGTCTTGATTGTATACCATATGTTAGTGATAAGGTTCCCCAAAGCAATAGAACATTATGGGGAACAGTCAAGCCTTGTTGTGAGTTAGCATTACTAATTATTAATTACTGTTTTACTGTACTTAACTGTGTCATTTTACATGTAGCCCTACTCGAAAAGTGAGCCTTGTTTGCACACAATACATAATAACCCTACACTATGTAAGCTATGTAAGTATAGACTGTTTAGCTTGTCACTTAAGTTCTCTATAAAATCTGTATTCGGTTTTGACTGGAAACTCTATGCATCTTTTAAGGCACTGACGTTACCCAGTGAATCCAAAGTTGCAGTTCTCGCCCTGTGGACACTGCTTGCTGCACGATTACTTGATTTCAGGGAGTACTGATCAATCCAGTAGACTTGAGGATACAATCTGACGTATCAGTTTTGCACTTAATTGCAGTTTGTGTTTAATACTTGGCTTTATCACCCAAGTTGCCTAATACAAGAAGAACCTCTCATTTCATTTTTAGGGTAGTTACATCTCTTTCTTCATCATAGTTTCTAAGCATGCTCACTGGTGTTCACTGGTGTTGGGGAAGCTACACTACAAATGTCAACAAACAAAATCAAACAATCTATGAATTACACTATTGTGGCAATAATTAAATGACCAATCCATAACAATAAGCATGTAGTCAGACATACAGTAGCTTAAATAGTTAGGCCTACAACCCTCTGCCACCTAACAATAGTCTAATCCTAAATGTAGGAATAACTATAAACCAGTGTCTGGTCATGTGTAACACAGTCTGTTGATTTGTCCAAGTTACCTAACTGCTTGGCAAAAAGGGAACTAAACGGTTTATGAACCAAGAAAACTATCACACCACTATGAAATGTAGCGAAGGTATGGCTCAGTTTCCGGTAACATACAAAACACTTCAGCTTTTATGCTCATTCATTTTCAGGTCTTCATTTCATCAGTTCATCCCACAGGAAAATTCATGATGAATGCTACAAGACCTTTAGGACTTTTTGAACTTTTTAAAAGTTTTAAAATCTATCTTTCTAGTGACTTTTTTCTGAGTACTCTTAGAATGTTTCCAAAGATGTACAGAAATAAACTGAACAAATTGTGTGATTGCTTTTTCTATCTACATGTGCATGAGCAAATTTTCAGATTTAAGAGTTTAGGATAAGGTGTTTGATATTAAATGCTGATTAAAACTGCCAAGCTATAACCTTTGCATTTCCCTTTGTGAGCCAATGCACAAAAAAGAAACAGGAAACAGGAGTTCAGGGTAATTACCTCAATTCTTTCAGTAGCTTTTGTCCATTACAGCTTTTAAAATATGGCCATAAGATCTTCTTCACTGCCACTTGCTTTCAGGAAAAGGTGAAGGTATCTTATCCATCTTGCTTATATACAAATTACCACCTAAATAAATCAACAAATTAATATAGTTTTTAATTTTTCCTTCTGTTACATTTGTATGCCATTTTTGTAATTACCTCATCTCCTCATAAGCCCACATTTGGCCATCATTAACATTTCAAGTAATATGCATTGTGTACTGACTTGATCTCTGTATTGTTAATCAGATATTACATGAAGACAAGGCAATGTGTAAGAAATATTGCTTGAATCTTGATGCACTGCAAATAAATGACAGTAACATTTCTCTTTCTCAGTTTGGTTTAAATTTTGTTTGTTTTTTTCATACACTGATATTAAAATGTAGAACCTGCATAGTTCTTTTGTTTTGGCTCCTGTATGTTGGATTTGAAATGAAACAATCACGATGAGCTTAAAGCACAGAATACCAGCTATACTTTTAAGATCTTTATATATAATAATTTTATGAAATATATTTTCACATACATTTCATGCATTTTTAGTGATTCTAAGAATAATATTGTAATGCTGGGTTGACTAACCAGACACTTGTGGATATAAAATGAACCACAGGGTTTACGAAAAGGAGGATTAACCAAAGGAACAGGGTTTACACCAGACCAGGACAAGAGCAGCAAAACATGATACATGGGATAAGGCAAAAATCAAAGTAGACAAACAAGCGAGGGTCGAAACCAAAGAGCCAAAAAACAGGTAAACAGAGCCAAAGGAGTAAATCTGAAAAAAACGACAACAAGAAACGAAACAAGGTCCTAACAGCATAACAGCAAAACAAGACAAAGGCTTGGTACACACTGACAAGACAGAGGCAATACTTTGCAAAGAGGGAATAAAACAGACAAGCATATATACACTGGTAAATAGGTGAAAGCAATCAGTATTCAGGTGACTTGCTGGTTGATGGTTGATTGGCTGTGAGTTACATGACAAACTGGGGAATCTTGGGAATTGGAGTTCGTAAAGTGGTTGGAGTCCGATTGAGAGTCGGGAAGCGTGACAGACAGCTTGGGTGGTAGCATTTCTCTCAGAATCTTTCCTATGATTTGCAGCACTTTGAACTCCAGTATAGTACAATATTATAGACTTACTTTTAATTATTATTAAAAGTAGTGCTATTTTCTTGGGTAATATCAATATCATAGTGAACTCAGTCACCATATTCTGCGTCAACAACACTGCCAACGCAATGTTACATTTTTTCTTGTGTTATGATTATATAATAATGCAAATAACTGAAGACCACAGAATGTTGCAGAATGTCTTACAGTAGGTACAGTGTCATAAAAATGACCGTGTCTCCTGATTTCTTTTTGCTGTTTCAGACCTGCAATCAAATATAACATAAGACAAAGACAACCTGAGTGAACACAGAATACAGTTTTTAAATATCAGCTTGAGCTTGAACCTCTTCTAAACTGGGTCCATGCCACATTAGGGCCAGATATGAAGATAATATTTAGACCTGCGCCAATTCAAAGCCAGATGTAACGTTGTTTTTTGTTCATCTGGGCCGGCTTTCAGCACAGATTGGCACAGATCCGTAAAATAGATCAGTTTCGGTATTGGGCCATTGTGCAAAAAGACACTGGGTCAGCTCTGCTTTCCGGATTGGGACCAGATGCTGTGATACATTTGGCCCTATTCAGAAGCCTGTTCAAAAACTCTGTCTTGTGTTTCCTCATGTTCTGCTTGTCTTACATTACGTTTTGTAAGAGGATCTGAAACAATTTAGTGTGACAAACACAAAAGTAGAGGAAATCAGAAGGGCCCAAATACTTTTTCACACTGTATAACAGTAATGTGGATTTCAGAAAGTGATCCTGTAACATTCTGCAGTAGAAAAAGTCACCCACATCTTAACTGTAAAATTGACATATGGTGCATTTCATTTTATCTTCTAGGTAGAAATAATTGGCTCCCTCACACTGTTTACACAGAGACACACCCAGATACTATCTTCCATCATCTTCTTCAACCTGGCTGGGTTGTGTTTGGCATCAAACCTTCCCCACACAGCTGCTCCACTTTTTGACGAGATGCCTTTTGTGATCATATGGAACGCCCCTATCTCAAGATGTCAGCAACTGAAGATCCCGTTGGACTTTTCTGCATTCCAGGCCATCACCACGCCAGCCAAAGTCCCCAGCCAAACCCTGTCACTTTTCTATAAAAAACGGATCGGGCTCTTTCCTTACACAGACCTTCAGACTTTCACACAGTACAACGGTGGCATTCCGCAAAGAGGGAAACCTAACTGCCAGTCTGGAAAAGGCCAAAGAAGAGTTTATGCACTACATTCCACGCTCCTCACCTGGCCTGGCTGTCCTTGATTGGGAGGAGTGGCTTCCATTGTTTGACCAAAATTCAGACGTGAAAGAGATCTACAAGAGGCTTTCCATCAACTACACATTTGAGCAGGATCCTTCTCTGAACATGCAGCATGCTAAAAACAAAGCCAAACAGCAATTTGAGAGCACGGCCAGAGAGTACATGGAGAAGACACTGAAGTTAGGAATCAGTCAGAGGCCACAGTATCTGTGGGGCTTCTACTTGTTCCCTGACTGCTATAACTATGATTTTGAGAATCCAAGCTATACAGGGAAATGCCCTCAGAACACAACACAGTTCAATATGGAACTTCTCTGGCTGTGGGAGACCAGCACGACACTCTTCCCTTCAGCATACATGCCAAAATCCATAAGCGGAAGCCGGAAGGCAGCGCTATTTGTCCGCCACCAGGTGCAAGAGGCGGTCAGAGTGGCAGCTCTGCCTCATCGTCCCTACACTGCTCCCATTTATGTGTACCTACGACCTCTTCTGCGTGATCAGAAGGAATATTACATGAATGAGGCAAGAGGGTTAAGTCGTTACAGGAAAGTCTGTTCAATCGGAAGCCATTTTAACAATGCCAGTTGATATTATTGGTGAAAAAAAAAAAGCATAAACATTTAGTTTGCACTCCTAGTCAAATGTCATTTTGTAAATTTTCTAAGTAAAAATACATTAACATGTCCTCCACAGAGAACACACTTCTGCACATTTTAATGCACATTTACTGTATATTTGCTGAATTTAACAGATTGGGGAAAAAAATAAAACTGACATGTCCTGTAAAAAAGGCATATTTTACATTTCTTTTTTCCCCCTCAATATATTAAAATCAGCAATAAATGCAAATTGTGCACTAAAATTAGAACATAAAATGCCATATTTAAGCGTGTTCCCGGTAGAGAATATGACACTTCAACAAAATCAACAAAACATGTAATTTAACAAGGGGTGCTGAACCAGTGAACTGTCTAGTCTGATTATTACATCTCTGCTTTGACTGTATGGAAGGGTTTTTTTAATAGAACTAGTATACTAGACTTAAATGTAGTAAAATCTGCATTGTCTGCCTTGTACAACCAATTATTTATTTCATTTCACCTATCCTCAGGTTGATCTGGTCAGGAGTATTGGTGAGAGTGCAGCTCTAGGAGCTGCTGGATGTGTGCTGTGGGGCTCTAGTTATGACTACAATGACAAGGTAATGTCTTTTGTCGCATCCTTATACTGAAACTTCTCTTTTTTGGCTCGGCACTTCAAAGTGCACTTACAAAGATAACAGTCTCTTATTTCACAGTCAAAAACATTGCTAGTTACTGTAAAATGATTTGGATGTGTCATGTTCAGCCATTCTGACATGAAAGAATGCTATAAAAGAATGATGTATAGCTAATTAAGTAACTCATGTCATAACTCGTGTCATAAAAAATAGTTGTTTTTCACTACGATTAAAAAAACATGAATGGTCCTGAGCATTTGATCCAGTTGTTTACAAACAGTGGCAATGTCAACAAACTGGTTACAGTGACAGATATTTATTCAGGTTGCTGACTGCTGAGGAGTAATTCACAAAGCAGATTTTCCAGTAGGCTCAACAATTTAAGCCCAATATACAGGCCAATAGGAATGTACCTCTTTCTATTGGATAGGATTGACTATTGGCTTGTCTGTCCAGTTGAGAAATCCTGCTTTCCTGCCTCTAGTTTTTACATCCATACATCTCTGACAACATAACTCCAACTGCTTACACTCACCCACATGAAACTTCCCCTGCTCTTCCACTTCATGGGTGATGGACATACTCATTGTAAGACAACAGGTCAATGACATCATAACCTTGCTCTCATCTCATTTTTTCTGTAATTTTAAAATACTAATCAAAAGTCTACTTCTCTTTTCTTCTAGGTATCATGTGAAGCTCTATCGACATACTTGTCCAAAACCCTAAACCGGTACATTGTCAATGTCACAGCGGCGGCCCATCTCTGCAGCAACACGCTCTGTCAAGGCAATGGCCGCTGTGTCCGTAAAAACTACGACTCGGATGACTACCTGCATCTTAACCGTAAGAGCTTTGAAATTGAGAAGAGTGCTGGGACATACAGAGTCACTGGAAAACCCTCCATCAGTGACCTGAGTGACTGGGCCAGCAAGTTTACCTGCCAATGCTATGAAAGCAGAAAGTGCTCTGCTAAAATACCATCAGGACTCCCCAGTAGTTCTGAGAGTAAAGTTATGACAGTGCTGCTTGCAGCATACTTACTGCTTGAATCACTGTAGTTTTCAGTGGAGTAGTATTTTTTTCTGGTTAATAAAATGGAAATTAAATGTTCTTGAGAATTCTGCACAGGGTTATAACACCTCTGCTCATCTGATCTGGATCTTGAGTTTCAGCTGGAGAACCTGTGATATTTCACAAAACAGTGCAAAATCTTGTGCTCCTCTTTTGTCTTTTAGTCTATTTTTAATCACTTCTAGTCGATTCAATGAACACATTTAACGTTGGTCAGCACCTATTTTGCATTAGCTCCCTGATGTATAGACTAGCATAAGCTTAAAACTCCTGCCTGTGAAATAATAGATGAGTGACCTATTTGTTGTGCCACCTTGTTTACCCTTACAGCTGGGAGCCAGTAATTTCAAAGTAGTTATCAATAGTCTACTTCAGTGTTATTCATCTAAAACATGCGAAGACCCAGTTACATTAAATTTCTTACTTACACCAATCAGGCATATGACCTTGGTGGTGTGTTAGTGTGTGTTGTGGTGGTACAAGTGGATCAGACACAGCAGTGCTGCTGGAGTTTTTAAACACTGTCCACTCACTATCCACTCTATTAGACACCTTGTCAGTCCACCTTGTAGATGTTAAGTCAGAGACGATGGCTCATCTGCTGCACAGTTTGTGTTGGTCATCCTCTAGTCCTTCATCAGTGGTCACAGGACACTGCCCACATGACGCTGTTAACTGGATATTTTTGGTTGGTGGACTATTCTCAGTCCAGCAGTGACACTGAGGTGTTTAAAAACTCCAGCAGCACTGCTGTGTCTGATCCACTCATACCAGCGCAACACACACTAATACACCACCACCACATCAGTGTTACTGCAGTGCTGAGAATCATCCACCACCCAAATAGTACCTGCTCTGTGAGGGTCCATGGGGTTCCTGACCACTGAAGATCAGGGTAAAAAAAAGGGCTAACAAAGTATGCAGAGAAACAGATGGACTACAGTCTGTAATTGTAGAACTACAAAGTGCACCTATATAGTAAGTGGGCCTGATAAAATGGACAATGAGCATAGAAACAAGGAGGTGGTGATAATGTTATGCCTGATTGGTGCATAATTGTCTGGATAAATAAACTAACATAAATGGCTACAACAGTTAGCTTTAAATGCTTAACCATTAGTGACTGATCCATCCAGGCAACTAATAAAGTAATAACATTAAATGAGCATTTTGAAATCGTATGCCATGTCCGTTGGCTATTGTTTGGGGGTGGGAAAATCTTTTTCTTAAGGCAGCTCTTCTCCAGAGCGAACTGATTGGTATAGCATAGGGTACTTACAGATGCTGTGGATCAAAGCCCAATCTACAGCTTGGCAGGCAGAGGTGTTACACACTACACTATACCAACCACATACATCTTTTTCATATACATACCTTTCTATAAACATAAGGTTTATATGGGTGTGGCAAATATATTTTTGTAAGTGCTGGTCAAACCACCTCCAAGAGTGCCCTGCTGCTGCAGCGCAGTAACATTTTCTCAGTGATGCCTTTGTGGAAAATAGATATGTTTTATTACTTGTATAGATAAATGCAAGTGTGGGTCTTCCTGTCTGTGAGCGACCAAATCTGCTATAACTGCAATTAATTCTGCGAATCTGTTATTTTCAAGGAATAATCCACTGTAACATGTGGCTTCAACTGACTCAGTGCTGTCATAAAAAGGCAAAAAAATATATATATATATAAAAAATACACCAATGTTTAATAAATAATTTAATGTATACATTTATATATATTCTATAACAACAACAATAATAGTCAATACTACTACTACTACTACTTCATCTTATTACCATTATTATTATTTTAAAAAGCACTCTACAACCATGATAATACAGTATAAGTAACAAGTGAAACAAATACAGTGTAAAAATAGGGCTGTAAAACTCTAAACCAGTATGGTGTCAGTACAAGATGGTCTGTCAAAACTACAATTAACATGACTTCATGCGTCTTAACCAATGGAGCTTCAACATCTAGAAGATATGCTGGGACATACAGCATGACTGAAAACCTTTTATCAGTGGCCTCACTGTCGGTGCTGTGGAAAAAAAACTGCTTACCTAAAATCAAAACTTTAATACAACATGAAACAATGAAATGCAGCTTGACTTCATGATTGTTTTAAAGTAAGATGGTGATTTTAGCCCTGGATAACACATATTTCTACCCTGTCAGAAAAAGGTACTATGCAGGTGTAGCATTAAGAACTAATCCCAAATTAGAAAACACTGGTGAATGTCAGAATCTTCATAAAACTGCATAAATGGATTTTAAGAAGAAATTCCTTCTTAAGAACATTTGGTGAATGAGGCCCGATGTTTTTACGGTCCAGCTGTGTACATTAAATATGTTTTTCCCTGGAAAAATGTGCATATTTGTCCCTTTTAATAACCTAATGTTTTAAAACAGAACAATAAAATAGAAAAGCTGGAGATGAGACAGGCTGTGTGGAATCAGAATAAGTACAATTCCAAGGGATTATAATACAATTATGTTCCCTGACTAAAAGTACTGAAAAAGTACTCTTAAGTGTTTCATCCCAGTAACCTTTTTTTCTAAAAGAGTGTGTTGTAAAACCTTACCCCATACCAATGGCAAAGAACCTAAATGTTGGCCGCCATTTTATAAAAGCAATAAGCTAATCAATGCCGTGCGTTAGTGCGATTTTGTCATGGGGAAGGAGGTTTTAGACACTCTGCTTTGCGTTGTGCCTAAGAACACCCTTCCCTGTGAGGAAAAAACATGGCCTCTCATGGCTTACTGCTTCATCAGTATCAGTAACTCAGCATTTTCGCTAGCTAACTATTAGTGTGCATCAGCAGTGGATTCGAAAAGGACCTGGTGTTATGAACCAACTGGATTACAAGCTAACTGGTTCCTGTGTGCGTTCACGCACAGTGTTAACAGTAACAGTTGTGGTTGTATCTCTGTCACCAGATTCTGCACACATTCACAAACGTGTTATTCGAGACTTTCAAGTCACATCTCATATCAACTGCGGCAAATACAGTCGTATAAGTGATTACATATGGCTCAACTTACATAAAACGGTGTTGTTAGGAAACAATTCAATCCAGTTCACCCCTACCGAGGCAGTAAGCAGTAAAATACTATGTCAAAAATAATTGGTATAGAGGATACAGCAGTCTTTGCAACAAACAGTACCTAGGCCAGATTTACCTTCATTATGTTAAACTACACAGGGACAGTTAATCTCAGTTGTTTTTGTACAGAACATTAATTATGTAGAAGCTGAACAGGATTGTAGTCACAGTACAATATGTCTTTGACCTGACTTATCTTTAAGTGATGGTATTGTTTTCTTGGTGGTGTAAAAAGGACCACAAATCCTGAGAAATGGCAATTTAAGACATAATTAATCTTGATATCTTCAAGTTGGGGTGCCGCAAGTAGTGCTCCCTCATATTTATCTATATTTCACTAACTATGATCATTATAGTAGTACTGCTGTGTGACAGTTGATGTTTTTTTTTTTTAGCAATTACTGTCTCACTCTGAGTGAAAGTGTGTCAAGAAGTCAGGACATTGTAAAATAAAGACTGAGAAAATCAACTGTTAAAAAATATATTTTTAAATTTTGTTAAACTGTAAATTTTGCTCATAACTAAAGAACAGGCTGTTACATTCCATTCCATTCTAAAGTGAGTGTCTCAGCGAAGACAGTAGGCACTGTATTCAACTAAGCCATCACAGGTTGAGTAAAAGGTGAGTAAAACATAGCAAGGCCTTTACAAAGCACAGTTTAAAGAGGTCCCACTGGTAACGCTGTATATATCCACTCTGTGGGAATAATAATGAGGATCAAACTGATCTTCTGAACTTAAAAGAGAACTCCATCAAAAATTCCAGCATGATGATTACATCTTTAAGATGTAAAAAAAAAACTTGAGTGGTTTGATGTAAAACAATCCATTTTACAGAAACGTTCCAAGAATTGTTCACAGTGGTTGTGATGGGAACCAGACATCAGAAGAGTATAATGCCTCTAAAGCTCTATCACAGAGAGGGTGAAAAAAATTAAACAAAATGTTTACATATATGCTGCCTGATACCTGAGACATTGTTTTTGATAGTTTTGTGCTGACGCTTTGGCCTAAAATGTATTTTACTCCTTTTATTTGAATCCTCTCATGCCAAAAAAGGTACATATAGAGCATTCTAAGGCAAAAGAGTGCTCAAATAAAACACACTTTTTCAGATTTACCTCTAAAAACCCAGACATGGGTAGGTTCACTGGTGGTCTTGGATAGTAAATAAAATTACTGTATTTGTGTTGATCACTGGTTCCTATCAACATACAAACCTGAGTTGCTACATTTCTCTACAATTAACTATTTTCATATCAGAACACTGAATGACTGTTTACATCTAAACAGCTTAATTATGCAGATATGTTCAAAAATCAGTAGAGTTCCCCTTTAAGCAGTTAAGAAGTCGGGATTTTTTTTTTGTCTGTTAACTGTGTAAAAACATGACTAAAATAGAATGTAACTGCATAAAGCTCAACATTTCTAACTACTTAGAGACCAAGACAATAGCCACCAAAATTATCATAAAAGAATAAGTAAAATGCTACTAAATTATGTAAGTCATGACTTTACGTGGTGACCGATTTGTGTGATGTTGTGGTTTCTATCAATTAGGCAGAGTAAAGTATAACCCTGAAAAAGCAGCCACTGTGGCACATACCGTAGTGTGAAGCCAGTGTGATGCAACATAATGTGTAGCTATCTTGATGAGGGTCAGGATGACTTATCATTATGTAGGTGGTGATGTGCAAGACCTGTGGCCTTTATACTGGTGTATTATGCCATCTAGTGCTGATAATATTAACAAAACGGCAACAATGTTAACTTATTACTGGTGTACGTTAAGCTGAATTTCTCATTAACTTTTCTCATGTAATAAACTGCATTTTCTCCAGTGATGTAAGTATATAGTTTTGTTGGATCCTTATAAATAGTTAAAATAAAGTCAGGATCAAAAGCTCACATTCATCACAAAAAAATAAACTGAGACAGTAGCACGGAGACCATAACTTGGCTCAAAAGGAGGTCCATTTTGCAGAAAAATGGCCTACAGCACATAATGAATAAACTAATTGCTGAAAATGGAGTTGTTTTTTTTAACCACATCATTGTTCTTTTTTACTCATCCATAACTTATGTACCTTTTCCTTTCATTTGTTCCTTTTCCATGCCTCCATATGCTATCACTGTTCCAATAACTGATTCAACTCCAGTTACTCTGCTTAATTTTATTTAATCATTTAACTGTTTATGTACACATTTATTTTACATGTTGAAAGCTCTACTAAATCACACTGATTTTATCTCTCTCTCTCTCTCTCTCTCTCTCTCTAGCATCTTGGTCTTTACAGATTACTGAAAAAGCAAGCATTAAACATTCATTACAAAAGTCTGCCTTTACCAACTACTAACAGGAAGGACAAAGCATGCATACAGTTAACCAGTTGG